TTTTTTTTTTTTTTTTTTTTTTTTTCTGGGTATCGATTTTGGATTGAATTCCAGTTTACCTGAATTGGTTGAGTTAATCTACTGATTCTAACGATAATTGTTTATGTATTATCCTTTTTATTTATGTCAATTGTGTATTTGGGAGCTGGATGATCGGTTCCTATCAATACGTTTCATATCAAAATCAAAATGCCAGAACATCACAGTTAATCACAATTCGTATGTGGCTGAAACAACCAATTTGTTTGGTGCAGACTAAAATATGGCATCAATGGTTGCCAAGGCTTGTAGCAACACATCCAGCCAAATGCCGGTTATGACAGTCCAAGAAAAAGGCAGTAGGAATAAACGAAAGTTCCGGGCCGATCCACCTCTGGCTGACCCCACTAAACCCATCCCTCTACCAGCGAGCGACTGCACCAGCTTCGAGTTCTCTGCTGTAAAATTCGACACCCACGGTCACTCAAACGCATGTGACTTGTGCTGCCTGAACCAAGACACACCAGATTCCCTAAAGCTTGACCTCGGGCTGTCTTGCCCCGTAGGCCCGTCCAATCCCACCCACCACAGGGATGAAATTGACACATTAGGAGACGATTTTCACGATGCCGACTGGAGTGACCTCACCGAAACTGAGCTCGAGGAGCTTGTCTTGTGCAATCTAGACACGATTTTCAGAAGTGCAATAAAAAAAATCGTCGCCAGTGGTTACAGTGAGGATGTTGCCACCAAGGCCATCCTGAGGTCGGGCCTCTGGTATGGGTGCAAGGACACCGTATCAAACGTGGTGGACAACACCCTGGCCTTTCTCAGGAGTGGCCAGGAGATCGATCCCTCCAGGGAACACTGTTTTGAGGACTTGCAGCAGATGAAGAAATACATATTGGCCGAGCTGGTTTGCCTCTTGAGAGAAGTCAGACCTTTCTTTAGCACAGGGGACGCCATGTGGTGCTTGTTGATTTGCGACATGAACGTGTCTCATGCTTGTGCTATGGATAGTGACCCTTTCTGCAGTTTTCTGGGTGACGTGCCTTCAAATTCAAATTCCTCACATTCAGCTCAATCCCATTCAAGAATGGAGACAAAAAACCTTGAACACAATAACGTCCTTCCTTGTAAACTGAATGGGTCGGTTGCTTCTACTCACAACTGCCCACAGGAATTGATTCAAGGTGGTCATAGTTCACAGCCCCAGGCACCGAAAGTGAATAGTGCCTCTAATGTGAAACCTAAAGCTCCTTCGGTTACGAATGGGCTTGTATTGGATAAGGACTGTCAGAATCCCAATCCTGATACCAGCGAGAAGCCCTTCAACGCTGTGGGAATATCTGAAATTGAAGAGAAATTTGGTGGTGGCAGGAAACTGTCAGTAATTTCAAAAAGGGAATACATACTGCGTCAGAAGTCAATGCACTTCGAAAAACACTACCGTACTTATGGCTCTTCCAAGGGCACATCCAGGGCCGGCAAGCTCAGCGCCTTTAGCAGCCTGGTCCTGGATAAGAAACTCAAG